ATGCGCTTCACAAATGTTTGCTCTTTGAGTAAAAACTGTTTAACTTCTTCTTTCCAAAGAATTTTATGTTATGGTTGGCAAAACACCTAAATGCCTGAGACTTGCTGTGAACGTGCTGTTCAATCATTGTGTCATTTAAACAAGAGCCGTCGGAAAAAAATGTAAGAAAATAAATCTGTGAGGTGATGTTAAGTATGTTAAGTATACCACCGCTCTACTCTAAACCTAACTAGCCATACCTTCACTTTTTATCTATGTGGCAACGAGTAAACATCACATCAGCGTCTTTGCAAGTCCAGCTTTTGTCTCAGTTGGTTCCCATAGAGAACAGTCATGTATTGCCCTCTATTATCATGAAGGTTTGGTTTGGTGTAGGCGTCTTATGTTCTCAGGCGATCTGAACTTACCTTTATATGTCTGTAATCACAATTCCAAACAAGCACTTTATCATGTGTGGGACACTGTAGAAAGATTGTTTATTTTCCAAAAGCTTGCTGTAAGACACATGCAGTGGTTTGTTCGTACACATGGTCAAATGTCAAAGCTTTATTATGACGATCCTACAAAAGAGTCACCATGTAATAATAAAACTATATGTGCAGTTCATTCCCATGATTGCACGTGAGCTCTTACTGAAGGTCTGGACAACCTGATCTGACTGAGACAAAATCGTTTGACTCTTCCACAGCTGCTGGTCTTATCCTGGGGAGCCCTGTCCATCCTGTGAGTGAGGGAGCTGCTGTCAGTCTGAGCTGCATTATGAGAAGACAGAAGATAGTGTCCAATGTTTTTTTCTTTCAAAATGAGAAACTTGTCCAAAACGATACCAGAGCTGAGCTGAATATCTCTTCAGTGTCCAAGTCAGACGAAGGCTTCTACAAGTGTCAATATTCAGGACGAGTGTCACCACAGAGTTGGCTGTCAGTTAAAGGTGAGCGGGAATAAAGAATTGTAGGCAGTTTTTATTTGGTCAACCGTTCTACTATTTGAGAAGCAACAGCATCCAGTCACACTGTGTCGTGTATTTACATGGTACAGAGTTTTGTCTAAATAAGTCTGGAAGTTATGTACTTTATGTCATCTATTATAGCTGTGTCCAGACCTGAACGCTCCTCATTTCTAGTGTCCTTGATTGTTGGACTGCTTTGTGGAATCGTATTTATTATCCTCCTGCTCATGTTGTCTTTCTACAGAAAGCCCAAGGGTGAGGCCTGTTTTTCTTCATACTTTGTTAGTTTTACTACATACTCTGAGCCGTCACTAAATAACAGAACAGTTTCTCTCATAAGGCCATGTAACAATGCATGTTTGTTTGTTTTTCTTCCCACAGAGTCATGCTTTAATAGGTCAGTAAACTCTGTTCTTTTCCCTCATCACAAAAATACAGCAGTACTTTATTTAACATTAAACTCACTGTATATCACATGTTATAGGTCAGAGAATTCTAATCGGGGCTCCACCACAAATCATGGAGTCAACCAGGATGAAACTGATGAATACAACTCGCCTCTCAATGGTTGGCACTTCCCATGTTTTGACTCATGAACGATGAGATAAAGACAAAATGTTTTATGCTCAGTTTCTGAACAAGAGTAGAATTTCTTAAACATCCAGCAAACCTGTCACACAAACGCAATTTTACTTACAATGAACATAAACTACGTGACAGAAAGAATTCATAAACATTAAAATTCCATAGAAAATGGTACTGTCAGTATATCAAACTCTCTAAAATGTTGAATTCCCTGTCTTTGCTCTTTAAGGAAAAAAGAAAGATGTCCAGGTGACGTTAAATGCTCGACAGGTATTTAATTACTGACATGAATTAATTTTAAATGTAGTTTCTCCTGAAGGTCCCCCTCACCTCTATGACTCTATCAGACACTCTGAAGACACTGGAAATGGTACAGTAAATCCTTAAATTACATAGAGCTGTTAGAAATGCTAAATCTGGGGGATTAAAGGAGATTGAGTATAAAATCTGTATTTCAGGTGCAGAGGAATCAGAAGATGTTGTGTACTCTTTGATTGAACTGCAAAACTTCGGAAATCAGAGTAAGCACTGTCAAGAAATATAATTGTCTATAAAGGACTTAGTCTACAGTTTCTGGAAAAAACTAGAAAATAAATCCTTTTTTCTTATCTTTGTGGTTCATCTGATTGTTTCAACAGGGAAGCGGCCTGAGCCAAAGGATGGTGCTGTTTACTCTGATGTGAAGATAGGAGCTGCAGGTACAGTCAGTGACAACAGTCATACTAAATGTTGACTCTATATTGTGTTGTGATGTCACGACATTCAAGGTAATTATGGGTTTAGCATGCAGGTCAGATCATTTCACTCACCCTGGTTAACTTCTACATCCTAGCGATAGATGTTACCAGAGTTGGAAATTGTCAAATTTAAACATCTGAGAGCTTTTAGAATTAAAATTAAAAAATATATACAGCATGTGATTGTCACTGTGTGGGATCTGTTCTCACTACAGTTCTAAGTCATGTCATGTCTGTAAGATGATTTTACTCTGGATTTCTTAAGCAGTTTTCTTTTTGCCCTTGTGTTGTTTCTGCCTTTTTGACCGTCTGCTCTTTCCTATATTTCTGTTTAACTCCTTGGTGTTTGACTTTGTGTTTCTGACTCAGTGCTTTTTCAGTTCTTCTCCTTACCTGTGTCCATCCCTCTGTCTCCTCATTTTTACATATTGTTCCCTGTGTCTTTGCTTCTTTAAATTTTGGTCTCTTCTTTTAGACTTACACTTGTTTACTTTTTTGGATCTGCCTTTGTTGGACTTTTGTCAGTTACTGTGTCTTGACTCTACAGCTGTTTTATTGTAGTTTTCCTCCCTGCCAGTCAGTATTCATCTCCTGTGAGTTGTCCTCCATTTCATTTTGTTTATACACTCTACGTCAGTGTCTGGGGCCGTGCATTTGGGCCCTTCCTAAGTGCTTAATTCAAGGTCAACTGGACTAATCCTTTTTGTTTCACAGTTCAGACGAGGTCCAAAAAGAAAATTTTAGTTGCTTTCTCCTGAATCGCTTGCTGTGTCCTCTTCCTTGACCTCAATGCAACAGCAAAAACTGACCAGCCATGGAGTAAGCAGCCAATTTAGAAAAGCAGATAAGTGTCCTCAGAGCTTTGGCTCAGGAATTCTCTACGTTTGTGGATTAAGCGAGTCTCCTGTCATCTTCAGCTGCTGAGTGAGCTAGCCACTGGCCCACTAGCCTCCTACCTGGTCCAGCTCTTGCATCTGATTCCACTTTTGACTCTCAAGAGCCTCCTTTCTGTGCAGTCTGACCAGCGATGCTCCCAGTGATGTTGAGGCTCCCTGTTGCCCAGCTCCTCTTCACCATGCGTTTGAACCAGACAGCTCTTCTGTCCCAGAGCTAGCTGATGTCCCAGCTGTCCCTGCTGAAAGACCACCAGCCTGCTCCCCCATCATTTAAGTCATTTAAGTCATTTTAAAAGACATTAAATAAAATCTTATTGACAGAGATAGACGAGCAAGTGCCAGAAGAAGGATGTTCTGTGTGACCTCTCAAATGTCTGACTGCTCTGATCTCAGCCTTCTAGCTGTTCTGCCTCCGTGGCCTCGCCTCCAGTGTCCAACTCACCAACTGTCATTGTCCTATTTACACCTCCTGCCCCCTGCCTGACCTTTTCAGAGAGGTTCTGCCTTCCTTCATTATTTCCACCAGTTCCCAGTTACCTCCCTGATGTTTTTAGTCTTGTTTCTCCCTCAGTGCTTTGTCCGGTTATTTGCTCATCTGTGTCGGTACCTGCATGTCTCTTTATGTCTCTGTGTTGTTCCCTGTCACTGCTTTCTTGGTTTTGGTTCCCCTTTTAGAACTTGTTTCCACTTTAGATCGACTTTTATCAAACTTTTTTATTAGTTGCTCTCTGTAAAATAAAAAGTTCCCCCAAAAGTTTTAATACATTTAAACTTCTTTTGTTTCCACATCTTGCCTCAGTGCCTGGTTTCCTCTGTTTGGTTCCTCTTTCTTTAACTTTTGCATGTTGTCTCACGTGCAGTGTCTTAGATTTGCTTTACTAAATCACAGCTTCCACAGATTTAGACTTAGGCTACACTTGCAAGGATAATGAAACAATGAAAAGCTGTCAGTGCGGTACTAATTGATTTCCATTTGAATATCTGTTGATGTACTGTAGTTGTGAAAAAGCATTTCAAGTTGTGTTTGCTTCCATTTCATCTGTCAGTTTGTGCATTCAAGCAATATCTGTGATATCTGTTCTGAACAAGTGTATCCTCCAATCAGATACCACTCTGATGTATGCTCAAGTCAACCAAAAAAAAGCCAAGGGAAAAAGGGGTAAGTAAAGTGAGCAGTTCTTGTGAAACAGTTTTTTCTTGGACAGTTTATATTGCATCATTTGTTTTGAATGTATGCAGTGAGAGTTGCACTTTCTCTGCAATATAAAGCAAAGCTATGGAGTACAGAATGTTTTGTTGTTGACAGTCTGTTTATTGCAAATTGTTTATTTTTGGCAAATTTTAAATGGGACTTGTAGAATAACATGATTTTGATGAAACCTCACCATTTTAAGCCGAGATTTGGTTAGTTTTCCAGACAGAGCTGAAAGTATGCTTACTGATTTTAAAATTGGTTTTGGGGGTCTAGAAGGTTAATACAAGCTTTAGTCTTTGTGCGATTGGACACATTAACTTCATTGTCTTGCTCTTTTGTATTCATTGTTAAGTTGTCATTTTTATACATGACGTTGCAGATCATTGTTTCACCCAGAGCTTCTCTCCATTCACAGCAAAGTCGAGTCCTGCAGCAGCTGAAGCAGCCGTTTATTCTGAAGTCCAGTTTGCCGATGGTGATGTTGCTGCCATGTAGGGTGCATGCTGTGGTCATTTATTCTACAAGCTAGTAAATGGTTTATAACTCGTATTGATATCCTTACGTCTGGATTAACCATACTGCTCTACATTTGTCATTGTCTTAATAGACTGTATAGAAAGCTGTATCACCAAAACCAAAAGCCATTCATGACACCATTCTCCATTCACCACGTTCTTGTAGCAAAGCTTGAATATTTGCTGTTTTAAAAGTCAACATCAGGTAAAAAGTTTGAAATATGGGATATATTTCTGATGTGTAGTCGTGCAGCTTTAGTTTGCTTATGCAGCAATTTTCCATGTGAAAACTCCTTATTAATACCAACAAATAATACATCTGAACATCTTCTTTAAAAAAAAAAAAATGTTTCTAATGTTTCTGGCATTCAGTCGCATTTATATACTTAATTGTCAATCTAACTGGACATTCCACAGTACCTGTCAAGTTGACCCAAGTCCATTGTAGTAGATATTTAAAACCATTTCCTAATACTGTAAACCAAATGAGGTGGTTTTATTATGTGTTTCCCCCTACCACTGTGCATTACACATTTTAGATTTTTCTCAAACATCAGATATTTTTACTTTTAAAAGTTATGTGACCCATAGATCATGTAAAACCTGAAATACTGTGAAATGAAGCACAACTTTGGTGAAAGCTGTTCTACTCACTGGACACTTTATTAGTAAAACCTGCATGCCTGTAAATTTGTGCAGTTGTCTCATCCAACATGAGGCAGTTGTGGAATGTGTAAAATCTGCAGATACAGCTGAAACGATTCACTAAGTCCACATCAAAGAGCCATAAAATGTGTGTGGGGGGAAAAAGTCTTAATTTGTTAATATACATCCCTCCTCTGCATTCTCTGCTCTCTTGCTCTAAGCCCCTCCCACCAGATGAGCATGTGCATCAAACAGTCGAGCTAGAATTCAGCGTTAACTTGTGGCTTTATTGTAACTGCTCTGGGTGAAAAGACCTGTGATTGGCTGTAATTTTCTGCGACTGAGAGAACTTCTGTGCCAAAATACAGCCAGAGCACTGAAGTAACACACAGAAAAATGGATGGAGGTTGGGAGGTTATCACGCTGATGCTTGTACAGATATGATGCTGTTGTGTAAAATGTAACTTTAAAAACACCCAAAGATGCATTTCGATCTTTTCTATAAAGGTTGCAATGTGAGTTTTTCTGAATTCCACCAAATTAGATGTGTTGCATAAAGAATTTATCCTGTAAGAAACTGTTACATGGCACACGTGCATCTCTGGGTGACTTCTTCAGTTGTTTGTGGATCTCACTGTCTTCAACACATGATATAGATTATATTATACAGATAGACAAAAGGCATGAAAGACAACAAATAACAGCACAGTCTTCTTCATTCAACGTTTGTTACGTTCGTACAACTTCTGTGTTTGCGGTCGTGCTCTGCTATCAAAACATCAGAGATGCAGCGTTTTGCATGTGAACGTCCACAGTTGTGTAATTACTTAGTCCAAATGTTCTCAGGGGAAACAGATTACTGGAAGTGCCGTATATTTCTGTCAAAGAAAATTCAAGGTTTGCATTAAAAATAAGTTGCACAGTTCAAATTTTGTCACTTCCTGTGTACATTTCTTTTTCAAAAGCTTTCTTTAAGCAGTCTTGATTCTGTGTATATTTAAAACTAAATGTCCGTCTGCTAAAAAGCAAGAACGCCCCCTGTTTAGTTACTGAAAGCTAAAGATTTGTTTAATTCTATGACCCATTCTGTTCCTGCTACTTCTAACACAGCAGAGGCGAGTTGAAAGAGGGGGGGCAGGACTTTATTTCTCCTCATGCTTACTTCTCTTTCACAACACTGTTTTTGCTCACTCACTTCCTGTGGGTGAAGTCATAACCAAACTCGAGACCATTATTTCACTGTAAGAACACATTTTAAGATTTTCTCTAGTACAGCTAAACTTTTGTGATTTAGCCTCCAGAATGAGCTTGTTTTCAGACCCAGATTCCACTGCTGTGTAAGGAAGCACAACACCTGCTGTGTCGGTGAGTGTGACACCTCTCCTTTATCTCTGTCAGTACAAACTTTGCATTGTAAATGGAAATGTGTTTATTGTACATTTCAGAACTTTGACTTGAAATTTTTGTCGGCAGCCTTTTACTGTTGCATCAAGAATTAGTGACCCTTTGCAAGGCAGCGGTAGCCTACAGGGTGAGTGTATTTATGACAGGAAGCAAATTCATACTCAGTCAGTGTCTGCAGCAGTTTGAACTCATCACCAAGACAATGTGTTGTTGTACAAAGCCGTTACTTTAGTGCTCCAGAACAGTCTGTAGATGTGTTTACTGTCATCCTGAATGCATGTCGCTGTAATTAAAGTGGTGATGCCTCAAGCAAATGCAGAAAGTAGACCAAGAGCAAGTAAAGCCAACTTCGATTTCAGACATCGTTTATTTTAAAACCTGAATCAAGCCCAAATGCCTAAACCAAGTCCTTTAGACAGTTATTCACTGTAATGCATCCCACAGTGCTCTTTCTAAAGCGTTATCTGGCTTTGCAGTTACGCTTTAATTATATGTAGAATATAAGCAATTTAGGACTAATGCACTTGAGATTTTTAGAAAGATAATACTCAGTTATAGATAGTTCCATAAATATACATGTCCATATATTACTGTGTAGATTTACACACATTTCACCACTTGTGGATAAATACAAAATGCCATCATCTGACTGACATTCTACATATATATTCTAAGAATTGTCTGAAGTCATAGTTAATTTGTAGTGACACCATATCCACGAAACAGCCCCCATTTGTTTTCTACTTAGTGAGTTTGAGTTAGTTTCTTGAGTTTGTTTTTGGGATGCAGATGGACTAACTGAGTTGTCCAGTCTTCTAGTATGAGTTTTATTTTTAAACAGATCCAGGTCATATGAGAGGAGTGTCGGTTGTATTTCATTGTCTTGATTGAGTGGGATGTTGACTCAGAGCACTTGGATGATTAATATCTGTAAATGTGATGCTTTTTCCTGTTGTGGTTAAAGTTTTCTGACAGTTGCCACAGACATAAAGAGGATTTTTTGACATAAGTTCAGTCTCTTTACCTCTGGATGTTTGTGTGTTCACATTGCTTGTCTTCAGTGGTCTTGTGTTTTTCTATATGTGGAAGAAAATGACTTCTTGTCTGTTTACTTTTAAGCTGTCAGTTAATCAGAGATGAAACCTCTGCGTGAGGATGGCTCTGAGATGTTTCCGCAGTGCCCAACGAGGAAGTGTAGAAATAATTCTGTGGTCAAACCCTGTTGGTTTTGTGTAAAAGGAAGAGCGCAGAGTCGAGCTGAAGAAGAAGCCAGAAAAGCACGTCATACCCAAAATGTATGTGAAATGTAACTTCTGTTTTTTTTTTTTTTTCCATTCTTGGTTTCCCTTGTGCTTGAGTTTCACTCTCTTTACACTAGGTTTATCGGAAGGGTTTGGACTGAATGCGAGGATGGGACATACTTTATTTTGTGAGCTGTGGTTCTTCTGTGAGTACATCACTGCCCTTTTCTGTTTCAATCACACAGAGAAAAACGATTTTGGTCATTTGCTCCCTTTTAAAAAAATATTGATTAGAGGAGATGTGTGGTTTTTATCAACATGACTGATAGTGGATCTTTCTTAGCAACTTAGATGAGAGTGGATGACCATTTTAAATGTTATTAACTATTCATATTAAACGTTCTTAAATCCCTAAATGTGTTATTTAATGCGATGTTTAAGGTTCTTTTGACTTGACAATGTCTGAAGTTTCACCCTTTTATTGTAGTGCTCTTCACACTCCTCACCAATGGACACACTCAAGGTAATTGAAGAGTTTTCATTTTGTTTTTCTTTATGTGCTAAATATAAATCTCATCCTGCTGCATTCTATCTATATATATCCTCATGATTGTGTGCATTTGCGACGATTGTGTCTGTCATGAAATATCAGAAGAACTGTAGAGCTCACTGGCCTCAGTAAAGGTCACTGTCCAGGATTCCACAATAAGGAAGACACTGGGCAGAAACAGCGTCCATGGGAGAGCTGCAGGGTGCAAACCATTCCTGACCAAAAAGAACATAAAGGCTCGTCTGGAAATTGTTAAAAAAAACAAAAAAAAACAAATCTGAATGAGCCCCAAGACTTCTGGGATAACATCCTGTGGACTGATGAGTCAAAGGGGGAACTTCGTAGAAGTCATGGGTCCCATTACATCATCTGGCGAGAAGCTAATAGAACATTTCACCAGAAGAACATGATAGAAGCAGTGAAACATGGTGGTGGTAGTGTGATGTTTGGGCCTGCTTTGCTTCAACAGGACCTGGACGACTTGTCATAATTAATGGAACCATGAATTCTTCTCTGTATCAGACATTTCTCCTCATAAATATCCACTCATCAGATCATGACTTAAAGCTCAAGCGTAAATGGGTTTAGCAGCATAACAGTGACCCAAAGCACACATCAAGTCCACCTCTGAATGGCTCTTTTATAAATCATCATTTAAAAAATGCATGTTGTATTTTGTGGGTTGTCTCTGTCTAATATCAAATAAATGTAAATATTAGTCTGATGTGGAACATTTAAGTGTGAGAAATATGCAAAAATAGAAGACATCAAGAAAGGGAAAAATACTTTCACAGCACTGTCTGTCTGTGTTGGATTGTAGATGCTGTGCTGATGACTGACCCCATCTGGTCCAGTTATTTTGTTGGAGAGTCTGTTACCTTCATATGTGACATGAACGACGGAGGAGATGCTGAGTGGGAATATAAGATCAACAAGGATGGACAAGAAGTTTTTTCGTACCGCACATTGAAACTCAGAACATTAGATCGTCTGTCTACATATGACAGTGGTGAATATCAGTGTGTTGGTCGCAGGAAGAGCTCACATGAAACAAAGAACAGTAACACTGTCTCTTTAAGTGTTTCAGGTGAGTCCTCAGTGTTTTATCAACATAACTAACAGCACAAATGTATGATCCTTGTTTACATGCTGATCCTTACTATGTAATACAACATATGTTTAATGATTATTTTTGTGTAAACATTTTTAGAATAAGGTGAAACTTCAGACTTTGACCAGGACCTCTGGATCTTTCCAGCTTTAGTCAGAGAACACACTGTGCTAGAAAGCTCAAAGACTTTCATCTGGAATTAACACATGTATGTTCTTCTGTTGTGCAATAACAGCTGTTGCAGATAGAATATGTGAACTAAAATAAAAGGAAACATCGTTGAACTTCGCATCAATAATTTTAAATGATTTCAGGAGGCAGCAGCTGATAATGTTTCCTCTGTCTAAACTGACAACAGGTCAGACCACTGTGGAAGTAAAGCATCTTTGTGTATCTTGCAGTAGTGCAGCGTATATGTTTATAGTGAACATGACTTTTTCAGACAGAAGCATTGAGAAACAATAATGTACTTATTGAGATATAAAACCTGCACCTCAGTCATCATGTTGAAATGAACATAAATCACCACTGAGAAAAAGACTGCTGGTTAATATATAATGTGTTATGTAAAGGACAATTACATTCTTTTTTGTTGAACATGAAGATGATGAATTTAGAGCGAATGTCAAAAGAAAACATACCTAAAAGTTTACTTTCTCTGAGAAATGTTGATTGCCATGATAGTAATTGCATGTTCTTGTTCTTGTTTGCTTTTTATATCAGTTAAAGCCAGCGCCACACTGACAGCAGGTCCAACAACCATATCAGTAGGAGGCAATGTGACACTGACCTGCTCTGTGCAGAACTCTGATGGATGGAAATATTACTGGTACAGACGTACTCAGGTTACCACTTCTGTTCCAGTGGATCCAGTTAGAGTAGATGATGAACAAAAAAGAGTTATCAGGGTTTCACAAGGAGGCATCTACTGGTGTTTAGGAAGAAGAGGAAAACCAGTTTACGACACTATTTCAAGTTATGAGGTCACCATTGTGATAACCTGTGAGTTTAGTCATTTTCATTGAAAAATGCCTGTTTTACTTATTAAAATTAGATCTGTGATGAATCCTAAAATATGAATGTTTCTCTGCTGACATTTTGTTTTTTCCCCCTGTTTGTATCTGAAAACAGTTTCCAATGACGTTGTTCTAACACAACAACCACACTGGCCTCAGTTATTCAGTGGTGAAACAATCACTCTGACATGTGAGGTCCACGGAGGTGGAACCACTGAGTGGGTGTATGAATGGAGAGGACATGGGTCATATGTACCATGGACAGACAATAATTACCAGACATTCGGTGTTTCTGAGTCCAGCAGTGGAGACTACATGTGTAGAAGCAGACCCAGAGATGACTCCTATTCTTCAACTCAGTGGAGTAAAGCCGTCACATTGTCAGTATCAGGTCAGTCATGTTTGCTGTTTACTTTTAAAGACATGTTGTCCTGCATATTGGATGGTGTAACTCCTCTACATATCATCCACCTGTGTATGAACAGTACTGATGTAACTTCGTTTATGTGAACAGTGATTAGATAAGAAATTAAAGGATATTCATGAAGGAGATGCAGAATTATTTGTTAAAAAACAAGTTGATGCTGACTGAGTTGTCTGCCAGAGCTCAGTGAAAAGTCTTGATTCTGTTGGTGCAGAACAAAGGACAGTGCTGGTTTCTACATAGTAGGAAGTGTGATGGTGGAGTAGAGTAAAAACACAGGCAGTGATGAGATGAAAGAGGTGTTACTGTTGGAAGAAAGAGTTTATGAAAGTGAGTGGCAGCAGTGTTACCACACTGGGACACTCCAGCTATGTTGTGGTCAAAGCAAATGGTTGTAACGATGCTGCTGGTGCTTGGCCTTCTTGTGTGTTAGTTGTAAAGTGAAGAGGAGGATCTTTAGTGCTATGATGGTGGCTCACTTCTTAGATCACCATGGTAACCTATGCTGAACACCTAACCTGCTCTGGAGTGGGTTATGTTGGAGATAACAGGTCAGGCATGTAAGAGCAGTGTGGACTGACCAGTTGGTTTTCTTGACAAAGACAATCAGTGTGACTAAAAGTTCCA